TCTTGGGATATGATAAAGGGTTGTACAGGGATAGTGGAAAAGAAAATGGTAACTACTATGGTATATTCTTGGGATATGATGAAGGGTTGTATACGGATAGTGGAAAAGCAAATGGAAACTACTACGGTATATTCTTGGGATATGATAAAGGGCTGTATAGGGATAATGGAAAAGGAACATGGAAACTACTATAGTATATTCTTGGGTTATGAGATAGGGTTGTATACGGATAGTGGAAAAGCAAATGGAAACTACTATGGTATATTCTTGGGACATGATAAAGGGCTGTATAGAGATAATGGAAAAGATCTCCACATGACCCTTTGCACCCGCCGTCAGCGCAGGAGCTCCAGTGAAACATGAACGCAAACTCTTCGTCGAAATAGAAGACAAGTGACCCTTTTGGGTGCCCGAAGGGCACAGCGTTCCCGTTGGCGTCCCTTAAGTGATCGCTTTATCCTGCTTAACTTACTGGCAGTTAGTCGGGGAATGGCGGAGTGGAGATAGGGCCGGGATAGGAACTACTGTACCTTAGAGGTGCCTTCCAGCATACCCTACTGGCCACCAGCAAGTTATCATCACAAGTTTCACGCCGTCGACTGGCCTTGGGGTCAGAGCCGATGCGCAAGAAAAGGATACATCTGCTCATTTGTCTGAGACTTCTTGTGTCAGCTCTTCACGCCTGGGTTGTTTCCACCAGCATTACACCCCCAATTGACCTTAAATCCTGGAAGCAAGTTAGAGCAATCCCCTCATGGATAGCAAGGTCTCTTGATTCCTGGCGCAGGTTGAGGCAGCTCCACGGCAGCTCAGCCAAGCATTTACAGCTTTTACTTGGCGTTATTTCTGCTTGGGCAACATGAAGTGCTAGAGCCTAGTGAAGTAAGTCCTTCATTTCGGCGGGTTTACATTCTGTTGCTTTTTGTTGGAATTTTCACACAACCACTAATCTAGTCTGGCCTCAGGTGGTAGGTGTGTATGGCGCACAGTCACACGAGATAACCGCAGCACCGCTCGGGTACCCACATGAATAACAGCATCTTTATGTGGCCCTAGGCGTCCTGTCCTAGATTGCCTAAACTCTCCATACAGGGGTATCTTTTTGTTCGTAGTAGTTGTTGTATAGTTCATGTTTTCACCTTTGCCACAACTTTGTAACGATGGATTCTCAGGATATGGTCTCTTGGCGGACACTTGCGCGCCCCTCATCACCCGCAGATGTCCCTATGGTTTCTCAGATAGCCCTATCTGGAGACCCTTCCCCAAGGCTATAGATGTTTGTGTTGGCAATTGAATCCAGGCCAGGGCTTGGCAAACAAGGCCAGTACCAGCTGGAGGCCATGAGTCATGATTTGGCAGGGATGCACGTAAAAACCATGTTGATGTCGGTGATATGTAGTAAGTACTGCTAGTCTAGGGACATGAGATAGGAGGTCGAGACTTCTTCAGAGCCTCGGGAAGCTTTCTGGAGGCCCCAGCTATGGAGATTATACGATTTGAGTGGCTCTAAGAGGCTGTAAGGAGGACAACTGCTTGTAAAGGCTTGTGTAGTTTTGGGCTAGGGCCGGGGATCTCTCATGTGTTTGTAAGCCTTGTCAGTTTGGGCGTAAGCGGCTTGGTCTCAAGGTCTGGACGAGGTTGTTGGCATGGTCTCCGTAGCGTTGACGCTTGTTGTGATAGTGCTTCAGTGTCGGATTCTTTTCTAAGTTGCTATAATACCAGTAATGACAGAACAGTGATAATAGTCATCATTCTACAGTAATAGTAGTAATCACTGTAGTACTATAGTAACAGTGACGATAGTACTATACTATACAGGTACCGTCGGAGCCTGAATGATGGCTCATCCCATTCTCTCCTTTCTGTATGAGTGTCATCACACAAAGAACAAACTGTCAACAAAGCCTTGGCCCTAACCCTAAACTTCGGAGACCACTTACACGTCCCTTGATGCTTCCGAGAAGGCTCCCAACAAACCCACACCCGAAACCGGGCCAAACCATCTACCCGGCTATATTGGGGCTATATACGGGTTATATAGGGATAATGGAAAAGAAAATGGAAACTACTAATTAGGGCTTAGGGTTCAGGGTAGAACCACCAAATTTGATTTGTGTGACTGAGACTGTTGTAGACTGAGATAGCGCTTAAAACTTAGACGATGCTTGTTCTTGTGTCCATCCCTTGACAGACGCCTGTCACAATCCTCTCCGCGATCTACAGCCATTGCCTCAGATGGCCGCCTCATTTGGATGCTTAGGAGATTGATTTTTAGCGCGCAGGACTCTTCAGAGTTTCTTCCCAAAGAAAGCTGCTTCTTGCTGGGAATGTCAGTATCCCTACATATCATAGGTGCCTTCAAAGCAAGGCCCCTTAAGCCACAATCCAGAACCATAAATCCTAAACCCAAAGCCCAAATATCTCCAAGTCCTAAACCCAAAACCTTCAATCCTAAACCCTAAGCCCAAAACCCTAAATCTTAAACTCGAAACCCTCAACCCCAAGCCCAAAACCGCTAATCCTAAACCCCAAACATTTCACCCCAAGGCCAACACCTTAAATCCCCAACCCTAAACCGCATTCAGCCCAATACAGCACCAGCATACCGAGGTAAAGGGGCCAGCAGACCTTCGCCGCTTCAGTGGCCACAAGGTGTTTAGGGTTCAGGGTTTAGGGTTTAGGGTTTAGGGTGGGTTTGGGGATTGCTTACTCTTGCTGGGGCTTAGTAGGGAAGAAGGGAATATCGTATATGTACATTATATAGGGCTTGGGGTTCAGGGTTTAGGGTAGGGAATAAGAGAATATATTACATAGCGACCATGTAGGGATGATATTCTTTCCTACCAAGTTATTAACAGCCAGCAAGCATTCGTAACTACACTTATCCCTTAGGTAGTGCAATTGTTTCTTGTGGTACAACCCCAAGGAACTAGTACAGCAATAATTGTTAGGTCTAAGGGGGTGACAGGTTAGTAGGGAGTAGGGGTAAGGTTTGGATGCAACATGCCTGATAGGGCTCTTACGATCCTGGTGCACCTTGAGCATGTACTCAAGGTTAGAAGGGAAAACAGTAGCAAACTGGACTTGGTGACCGGGCGAGTTTTATGGGCAGGTTTGTGTTGGCTACGTACGCGGACCCATTGGCATCAGACCAGAGGGCATGATGGCTTTTGCTGTGCGCCGCTCTGCCGGCATCAGTTCTGAACAGCGTGGAACAGTCAAAATCTTTACTTCAGGGTTGTGGTAGGGGCTTAGGTGTGGGGTTCAGACGGTTGAGTCTTAAGCAAACCTCTTGCATGGCAGAGCACTATTCAATCGTGCCTGCACCCAGCGCAAACTGTGCTGGCAAGAGCACATGATGCTTGGGGAAGTAGCAATGACGAGACTAGACACTGACCCATTCCCAGCCTAGGTTTCTCCCTCACAACATGCAGCCGGGCAGGTTTCGGGTAGTTCTCAAATTGGGCCTTATACAAGGTCGAAAAGGGGCCGACATAAGCCTCTCATAATCGTCGAAAACCTTTTGGGTCTGTAGGGTACCCCACTTAGAAGACCGAAGATGCTTGAGGCCGCCCGAATGCCTTTCCTGGCTATGACGGCTATGAGAGGAGGCTCAGCTTAGGGTCTGACTGATTCAATTTAGAGCTTCTCAACATGCAATTAGGGTCCTCTTATATGACACCAAACACAAAAGTCCTCAGTTTCGAGACCACACAAGGCACCATGGTCATGAGAAACCCCCAATTAAATTGTTGTGCTGCAAGGTTGTTGTTACATTTCGTGAGGGCACTCTTTGGGGGTCCTTAATCTCTCTCAGCCTCTCCTTTTCCTGTTCTGTCCCTTCCCTTCAGGCTATAGTCCCCCTTAAGTAGATAGAATATGGCTTTGGGTATATTATAAATCCCCATATACCCCACATCTATCTACTTAAGGGGGACTATAGAAGCTGTTGTTCTCAGGCGCTCCCGAGTCTGATCACCAGACGCATCTGAACTGGCTGACAGAAAGGGCCGTGGAAAACCACGGAGGTATGTGCCATTAGACAGAAACTTGCCATCGTATAGCTCGTCTGCCATGAGTTTTATACCCCACGGATCTTGGCTATGCACATTTGTAGACCAAGGGTTTCAGAAGATTATCCTTCGCGAGACCGCAGTGCGTTCTCCGAAAAGTTTCACCTCGACCTCCAGGGTTGGCAGCATGTTCGTCCGCACACGCCCAGTCTGATATCTAGTTCTCCGCAACATCTGCCGTTCCTTCCTGTTAGCAGAAATTTCAGTGAGGAACATAGAGCCTGTTCCTCCACAATCCTCAGCATCCCCTGAATTATCCTAGTAAGAGTCCCGACAAAGTCCTTACTGTATCCCCAGGATTTTACAGGGTAGTCGATTGGTGGCCACATTTGAACCCCTACCCTACGCCCCTAAGGGGTTTCTCAAAATCGAGATATCTTTACAGGGACCCCTGGATGATATTGGATCGAGGTTACAGGGAACCCCCCAAGGTACATAAAACAGGGGTTGCTTACATCAAGCAGGGGATTGCTTTGATGCAGTCTTCAACCGCGTTTCCACAGTTTGGCTGTGCAGAGTGCGAATTTGCCGGCTCCGGGTTGTGGGACCGGAAGGCTTGCGACTGACACCAGCTGGCATAGATAGAAATTGTGCGATGCTGGGCTCCCAACTTCCTGGGGGTTCCTTACCCACTCGAAGCCAGACAGGGAATGCACAATCAAATGGAACGCATAATATGGAACATGAACTGGAGACTTCCTCAAGAATCCCAATGGCCAGCCTCACTATTGTTGTAGGTATCGGCTATCAGTTTGAAGTCTCAGATTCTCGATTACCGCGTAGTAGCGTCCCACAATTCAGAGACCCGAAAGTTGTATCAAATCGTGTGTGGACTCCCCATGGAGGCAACCACCTGAACCCTCAACTACCTAATTGCCCCGAAATGGAGATTGGTTGCCAAAAAATCCAGTATTACTCCCACCGCCTAGTATTAAGACCCCCCACCCCGCTAATATCAAATCTTCCCATGGCCTCATCCTCTGATGTGTGAGGGGTATTCAATATTAGGGGGTTGGGGGTTTTCATGTAAGGGGGAGGTGATTCTCTGATCTTGCCGTCCGAGGCTTAAGGCTCGTGGTTTGGGGCCTGGGGAATAAGATGAAGCACCAGAACCACATGGAAAATGATTGTGTTTGCCTGCGCTTCCCTGCAAGAAAATCAAGACATTATTGCGGGATAGGGAAGGCCCGTCCCCCCCAAATCGGGAAGAATCATTACAAGCAACCACCTAAGATCTCTGCTGGCGTTTTTTCATCGGGGCCTTCTGAGTCGCCGCCAAGCAA